GGTTGACCTGCATATAAGAAGCGGGATTCCTTGAGAGCGTTTGAGCCTCTCTCAGCATGCCTATCTGAAGGAGATCCGTAGAATCTGTCCTACATACAATTGTCAAAGAAATAGAGGAGTCACTTAAGAACAAAGGCTTTGCAGTAGGTGCTTCGGAAGAAAATTTCGACTTCCTGCCGCGAGAAATGGACCGGAATCTTCCGAGGCTGGCCCGAAAAAAAAGATCATTCTTCATGCACATCCTTCTAAAGGACGAATTGGAGAATGATAGTCTCTGTAGTAAAGGTCCAAAAAACATCTTAACGGACGGATCGAAGCTGGACGGGAGAGTTAGAGGAGGTGTCTACTCTCAGGAAGTCTCAGTAGATCTTATGTTCAGACTGTCAGATCTCTGCAGCATCTTTCCGGCCGAGGTAGCCTATTGGCTAGGCAGGTATTGTCGACTAGGAGGGAAAATGTCTACACCGGAAATTAGGGGGCTCGGATCGTTAATGGTCCGATAAAAACGGGTCGGGAAATGTCTGACCTCTCTTTAAACTGCCTCGGAATACTTTCAAATCAAGCCGATTTGGGTCCCAGGGCACAGTGATATTACTGGAAATTGCGGGCCTGATGAATTGGCTAGGCAGGGCACCCTCGAGGTCAGCCCCTCGTACAGTCGACTCAGCGAGCGTTGGACGGAAACCTCGACATGCAAAGTTGCAAAGGCCTTCTAGCCGGTTCGTGACCGCTTAAGGTTAAGGGGGCTTCTACAACTAGCTAAGCGTCAGCACTCGATTCTTACAGATGAACTGACCGGACATTGTCCTTCCGTGACAAACACGATGCGACTCAATGTCGTCACGGGTCCCTACTGCCACAGGTGTCCGGGAGACGAGGAGAAATCATCTCAGCACTTCCTCCTCATTTACTTAAATGGCAAGAGTTCTTAATCGGTTTGTGATACCGTTGAACTTTTCGCTGAGTGTTTTAAGTCTTATTCTATTATTGATGCTATCTTTAAGATAACTTGGTGCTAATGCAGAGGAAACCAGTTCCCACTAGTTTGCGGTCATCGACCATCAAAAGTAGTTACTTACGGCCAAAGGAAATAGCTAATAAATTGTTGTTACTAGTCGACTGCTAATAGCTAATAGTTAGCTACAAACTAGTCCCATTCCTACAGGCTATCGATTCGCTAACATGGAAAAATCAAAAATTACGCTGTTTGAGAAAACCATGTTACTTTTTTTCTTAGTGTACGTATTTTCTATTTACATCCCCAATAACCCTTCCGCCATTACCGATTTTCTATTCACCTTCCACTTACCTCCATATGATTGGGCGTATATCGCGTCGGCATAGCTGGCACATGTTTACTGCCATCGTAACTGGGCGGACTT